ACGTTTAAAAGTTCGCTGGTAGTATATTACTGAACAAAATCCGTGTTTTTTTTAATTCACCAATATTTTCGGCCTGCTTAGGATCAGTAGGATTCGATTTGTGACCCTCTTAATTCCCCACCAACGAGAGAAAGAATCACGACAGTATATTACTTCAAATGATATTCCACGTTGCTACGGATTACTTCTCCCAGGTGAGATTGCACTTCATCTTCTGTTCTTGTTCCGCTTTGAAATCCTCATTCTTTTTTCGTTTTCAATTTTCCGCTTGGATTCATTGCATACCTGTATTTGTTTCTGACGCAAGCTATCAACCACCAGTTGCTCCTGCATAGCCCCTGCTTGGAGCTCCACCAAATCACTCAGAGCTTGTTCTGCTGTTGGTCGCGCATTCGGATCTTTCATCATCAACCGCTTCACAAATGCCGTTCGTTGCGATAGGTCATCCCAATTCACAAAACTTGTCTCAATTAAGTATCCCACCCCCCATAAATCGACAGCAGTTGTGTGAGTCCCGCCGCTCACGAATATCTCGGGTGCATGTTCTTCGTTGGTCAGGTGTTCGCCGTTGGGGAAGTGTTGCGGGCTTATTGCTGCATCAGCAAAATCGATTAAGAACCATGCGTCACAATCACGTCGCTTGATCACGTTTGGCCAGCGGATGTCTCGATGGATCACCAATTCACGATGAAGTACAATCAAAGCCTCAAGGACGAACCGAAGGGCAACAAACAACTCCAACAAGTTTGATGGTTTTACCATCATACCACAAGGCTCAAATGTGGCAGTCTTCGTTGACCGCTTCACCTTGATAAGACGATCAACATGAGGAACATCGGCATTTTTTATAATGCGATAGATGAGCTCCAGCTGATCGATGTCTTTTTCAAGCAGGAAAACCTTTTCGACGGATGTTGGATTCAATCGCACAACGACACCTTTGCAACAATAAATATCCATGTATTCATTTCGACCAGAATCTGGACAAGCCTCCGCGATGGCGGGAAAGAGTAGACACAAGTTCAGGAGCGCAAGCACCATCCGAAATCGATCTGCTATACGCTCCAAATCGAAAGACCCAATCCGGATGGTGTCCACGTTTGTTAGGCCATCACCAGCGCGA